TTAGAAAATTCAATAAAAAGAATTGTATTGACAAAAAATATCAACTTCAGAGTAAACCGTCTGTTTGAATATTTGTTTTTTTTTTCTTTTCGATTTAAAATCAATCATAATAGTAACAATGAGAAGTAAACTTGTAATATTATTCTGTTTTATTGCAATAATTTATCCGGTTACTTTATTAGATCCTAGTTGTAAAGATAAATTAAATACAAATGAAGTCTTACATGAAGAACCATGTTTTATTAGTTGTCTACCTAATGGAACACCCATAAAAATAAATATGGCACTTCTTTTTTGCTTCAATTTTTTTCTTTGAATAGCTTGTTGCAAAATGGATTGCTGAATATGGTTTACCTGATGTTCTTGATCTTAATTATGATATTACTCGTAAATATACACCACTATGGTATGATGAAGAACTTCAAGGTTTTGCTGCTGGTAGTGGTGTATTATATTAAGATATTCGTCGACTTAATCTACTTCCAGAATTAATTAATGCTGCATGCAGTATATTAGGAGCATGGGGTGAATCTACAATATCATCAACATTACTTCATCTTCGTTCATTAGATTGGGATAAAAAAGCTTCAATAGCTAAATATGCAAGAGTAACTATCTATCACCCAAATGCATCTTATGAAGTTTATGCCAATCATTTTCATGATTATTACAAACAAAAATATTCGACATCACATGTTTTTGCTAATTTTGGTTATGCTGGTCTCATTGGATCAATTGGAGCTTACAGTTAAGTTTCAATTGGTTTAGGGCAAAAAGTTTGGATTACAACTGAACAAGATATAACTTTACATTTTGGTAATCCATCGACATATGTTCTTCCAGATGTAATTCAATTTTCAAATTCACTCCATATTGCTTTAACTATGCTTATTGATACAAAACGAACTTGTTCAGTACATCTTGGTCTTGGAGAATTTCATCGAAATACTTCAAAATAATAATATCGGATTTCTTGGTATTGAATATAGTGTAAAAGAATTTAATGTTTATTCATGGAAAGATATGTATAATACATCAAATCATCCATGTTTTACTAGTTTATTAGAGACAGGCAATACATTAAATTTAATTATTGGATTATAATGAAAATGCAGCTTATCTTGCATATAGTGCCCCTTATGATCCACAAGGACCAATTGAAGCTTTTAATCGTGTTCATACTTGACTTGATATGATGAAATTATTTGCTGAGCCTTCACCAAAAAAATTGAAGACTTCAAATAAAATTTTCATAAAACTTTTTTTATGGTTTTTTTTTCCGCTTCAGATTCGAAAAAGAGAACAAAATTCAACAAAGGAGGGCAATTGATAACTGATGAAATAAGTACCCTTAAGAGAGTTGGTTGGGATAATTAATACCAATCACATGTAGGTCGAGTCCGGTCACGCATGATAATCAGTATTTTATATCTACCGATTTCACAAGTGACCAAAGATTATGCTTTCGGTGAAGACTAATATAATATTCTGAGTCCGCATGCCGACAAGAGTGGATTTCTATACATTACATGATAGTAGAAGTCAAAATAGATGAGTAAACAATAGAAAGCAAGTTTTGATGAATTTTATTATTTCTCGTAATCCTCATGAAGAATAGGGTAAATTTTTCAACGAAGCGATGTTCTGGAGAACAATTAGGTTTTAGAAATTTGTTCTAACTATGTTAAAGAGATTATTATCTCTGAATGATAGAGAGGTTTTTGAATCTTCTATATGAGTTTTCGTACATCTTCAGTAAGTTCCGAAAAATGGTGAGTTTGATGATTTATCCTCCATCTGTCACTCAAGATAATTAAAAGTGGTGAGCTAGTCTTCAATCAACTTTTGTGAACAGAAGTAATAATGAAAATTTTCGACAGCATGAGATCAACTTTAAATGAAACCGTTTTTTATTCTTATATTAATTGAAACCTCATGGCCGAAAATAGAGATTGCTTCACACCACATTTATGTAGTCTTTTAGAAATTCTCTTCTTTTTCACTTACTGGACATATGTATCGAAAATTATTGTTTTCTGTCACGATGGTCTTGAGAATGAAGAGTCAGAAAATAGGAAAATAGACGATCTTACACTTGTCTTTTTTGAGCATCAAAGAAGGTAAAAGTTATTTTCAAAACAAGGATTTTTAGGATTCTTTTTTCGGTATCACAGTCGTATAATCATTTTAAAAACAAAATGGATTATATATATCTCAAACTCTTTACCTTTGTTACAGTATAGGGTTTGAGCCGGGAGATCTGTCATTCTTCAGTCAATCTACACCCAGACCTTCAAGTCATCATACATATTTTCTTTTATTTGATGTGTTTTCCAACCATGAGCACATATTGCAAAATCTTTAAAAGTTTATTCTGATTTAAATGAAATAGTTCCTTTAGTTATGATACTGATTGAAGGTGATCCTTTATCAATACGAACTATTTGTCAAGCATTACAAGAAAATATTCTAGTACGTGTTC